TATTTGGGGGCTGATCTCCCTCTCCCCGCCGCAGGAGGAGGGTAAGGGAGAGGGGACCCTCCTCTTCCCCTGCCTGTAGTAGTTGTCAAGAAGCCAAAGGGGCCTCGGGGCTGCGCGCTGGGCAGGCGGCGAGTCATAAACAACCGCGGGGGGGGAGAGGGGGGCATCGGGAAACCCTCGGTCGCCGTGGAGTTTCCAGCTTTATAGGGGAGGGGAAGGAGGGCAAATACGATAAAACAATGCGTGAACCGCGGGAGAGCGGACTAATATGTTCTCACTTGGGCATGTTTGGTTTGGTTTTGTTTCTTTTTTTTTTTTTTTTCCCATGAAATTCACGAATCTAAAGGCATTCAGATTGAAATCCAGGAATTTTAAGCACACAGAAAACAGCGTTTGGATTTTGTGTGTGTGTAACGAGTAAATGTGGTATGGTCATAATTACCATGGAAAACAAATAGGCTGAAAGTCTGTGAGGATTTGCCCATCCTTACCCCCTCCTCCCTGCAAGTGTTGTGCATTTTGTTGGAAAAGCTGGATATGCAAAATTTTAATGCTACATTTCAGAGAACATTTGAGAAGGGATTGTTTCCTGCTGTGGTTAGGAACTGTAGACACTTGTGTTTTTTCCGTTAGGAAGCTTGAACTTTCTTGAACTTTCCTTCAAAGCCTTCCAAACTAGAGTTGGGAGAGGGAATCTGCACTGCTAGACCTTTCGCTATGGTTTTTTTTTTGTTAATTCTTCTCCCGCGCTCTAGTAATTTAACTCCTTTACTCCTTGTGTGAATTTTCTTGACACAGTGGGCAAATGTCCATTGTGTTTGCATGTGTTGGTCTTTGGTAATGTATGTCTCATTAAAATTTAATTAAATTATGAGGTTTATAAAGTTAAATTATTTATTTAAGAGGATCAGGACTTCAACTGTTGAGGCTGCTAAGCTAGGGCTTGGATGCTTCCTCTCCTGGAGCTATTGGCTCCTCCCATTTAAAGTCTTAGAAAATAGAGATCAGCTCATACTGGGAAAAGAGGGAGCCCGTTCCCAAGATCACTGCATCATCGCTTCCTGAAATTTATATATTATATATATATTTATTATTATTATTCATTATTTATTATATTTATATTATATTATATTTATTTATTATTATTATAAATTATTATTATAATTTATTATATCTTAACCTTGATGTCACTATTAGTGCAACTCTGTTTTTACCTCTTAGTACCTTCGGCCCTGCTGATTCCAATCCTTAACTTTATTTTCCATAAATCTTCCTTGCTTTTGCCTAAAAAGGTACTTTTTTTGTTTGTTTTTTAAGTTATTATCTTAAGGACTGTGTGTTTCTTTCCATTGTGCTGACTTCTCCACTTTAAGATTATTCTTCTGCAATGTGTTCTTCATTCTCCTTGCCTTGACTTCTTTCCTTCTTGGCCTTTTGCAATCTTATTTTTGCACTCTGTGCTGTTGAAATCATCTTTCTTTAATTGATCCCTGCCTAGATTCCCAAATTACTTTCCCCTTCTCCAGCTTTTTTTTTTTTTTTTTTTTTTTTTTTTTTTTTTTTTTTTTTTTTTTTTTTTTTTTTTTCTGTTTTGTTCAGTTTGGGAAAGTATTTTGGTTAGTTTAGGTTGTTTTCCTCCATTGACTT